CCATGTAATTTTCAGGGTCTTGCTTCAAAGCACAGGTAGCCTGTGCAAATTTTAAAGCAGGCTGAGCCAGTGTGCACCGTTTGTTAGTCACTGAAATAGCATAATCGGATTCCCTAATCTGATCACTGGATGTTGACATTAATCCATCACTCCCCAGTTCTGAACTGTGTCCTTTCATCCTATGTGGGCATGTATCTTGTACTAATACAATAACAGTCTGGGAAGAAAGGAAATTCTTAAGGGAGTCTCCTCTTATTGCTTACCAAGGTCTCGTTTGGTATTTCTATATCAACCTTTGTTTTGCTGTTTTTCTTCTGGTTTCTTTGAGTATTGATGGAGTTGCTGGGAAGAGGAGAGCCCTGGGATAGGCTCTTCGACACGCTCCTGTAGGAAACATTTTTTGATCCACTTTCTGTCTGCTGGGCTGCCTTCTTATCAACTCTGCAGATAGAAAGGGATTCCTCTGATAAATGACCGTTGCCTTTCTTCAATCACTCTACCTTCCCTTCTGCTTCTTTATGTTTAGCGAAATCACCCTGTATCTTTCTCCCCCCTGGACCTCTGAGTGATAAACGTTGCTAACTAGCTTTGATCAAATCTGTCACTTGCAATTTCACGGACAACATTATTGTCGTCATTCAGGTATATCATTATTTGTTTTAAAATTTTCTAGGACTGTGAGCCAACTTGGAAATCATTGTACAATTATTTCTGGGTGTCTTTGTGACCTAAAATCCGGAAAGCGGTGAAAGTAATTACTTTTGTGGGTTATCTTCTTTGTATACGAATAATCTGCAGCCAGTTACAAGGGAGCATTAAACAGAACACAAAGGCAGATGCTGCATTTTTAAAAGAAATCTCTCCCTGATGGATGTATTAAATAAAAATGTGACGCTTAAAAACTGTATTCGTTTTAATAAGGCTGACTATTCTTTAATTTCAAAGACCACTGACCTGGCTAACAAAAAGCAGATAGAAATGATCAGAGCAGCCATGTGGAGCTGTTTTTATGGGGATATGTCACTCTATTTGGCAGATGGTGTTGGTGTTTTGCATGTGTGAATGCACATCTGCATTATAAACAGATGTCTCCCTAAAAAAAGGAGGGGGAAACCCGAAGTGAGAGCTGGCTACAAATCCTCTCCCAGACATGGCAGAATTTTTATAGGAGATTCCTACTTTCCATTTGAAAGATGGAACAACGCTGTGATCCCTTGGCTGTGATCCCTTGTCAGCCGTCTGAAATACCGCAGCTCAGCACAGGCTACCTACCCTCTCTGAGATTGCACTGTTTGATCATGTTCAAAGCTAACAAGCAAAATTATCAGAAAGTGGCTGTTTCTTCCCGACCCCCAGTTATTTAAGAATACGCAATTTCCTACAGTCTTAGCAGAGATCAATCACAAAAAAAGCAAATTACAACTGTCAAGCAACAATTAAAAGTTGAAGAACAATCAACGCAGCAGATAAAATCAAGTCTCTCCTTCAAAAAAAAAAAGGAAAAAAAAAGGAGAGACAAACCAGGTGAACTATTGTTCTGCTGAATTTTTTTTTAAAAAATGCCAACAAGCTCCAGGCCATATTAAAAAAGAAAAAAAAAACCTACCACCAAAGAGGAAACAAAGGGAGATTTCTATAGAATGAAATAGCCTTGGGCTTCATCACAAAGGCTTTAAAGGATTTGTAATTTATCACTAACTTCTAAAGAAACAGCACACATGAACTGAACTAAGTGCTAGTTCAATGTCCAAATATGGCTGAGCTGCGATTAGGCTGGCTGATGATGTCCTAAATCTAAATCTAAACCCTTTGAGCCAATGAAAAAAAGGACACACTGTGTGTGTGTGTGTGTGTACATTTATTTATTTTTGAATTTCCAATAGATCCAATCCAAATTAGAATTATTTTTAGTCTTAGAATTACTAATAGATCCTGCAAGTTACCATATCAAGCTGCTGTAACCTATCATCTCTTTATCCTGCCTCTTCTCTGCCCCCTTTTGTGCTTTTTTGGCCAGGTTCTCTCTCCTGCTTTCCAGAGATCCTTGCCAACAGATCTTTGAAACTGGCTGGTGGCAGAAGTTACTTTTGCCTATTTCCCTCACTCCAGCCAGCACACAAATCTTTCCTTTTCTCTTTCTGAAGCTATTTAGATAATGATTGCAAAGTTCTTTTTTCTCACTTAACCCCACTACTCTGCATTGTTTAAGTGAGTGTCTTGCAGTTTCTAAAGTAGCTTGCAGAGTTTCATGTTAAAAATGGGAAGAATGCTGCGGAGAAAGGGGGGGGTATAAAAAAAAAATCAAAAGACGGTCACACTGTTGATCTGCATAGACCATAGGCAACTTTGGCTCTTTTATGACTCGTGGACTTCAACTCCCAGAATTCCTGAGCCAGCCATGCTGAGGGGAAAGGGAGAGGTTTCCAAGCTGAGCCATGCTGGCTCAGGAATTCTGGGAGTTGAAGTCCACGAGTCATAAAAGAGCCAAGGTTGCCTACCCCTGGCCTAGACCGTCACTATCTGTGATGTAAAAGGGAAGATTCTAAATCCACATATGCTAAAATTCTTACCTGTGTAAAAGCTCTTTCATAAAGTTGTCTTTTCCTGAGTAGGTAGCAGTAGGGCTGTTTTTCTGTTCGGATCTTGTTTGGTTTGGGTTTGGGTGAACAGCTTTTGCCATTTTTTTTCCTTTGGGAGCACCATCTAAAAGGACAGAGGTTTTCCTGTTGAGCTCATTTTCCGCTTCGCAGTGCTGTTCACTTTTCTTTTTGTCTTTCCTTTTTTCCGATTTTGCTTGCTTACTTCCAAAAGCTGAACCTTTGGCCTCTTTCTTTTCTACTTTGACTTTTGAGGTATCTATTTTTCGGCTGTTCAGGGCTGGGAGTTTACTTTTACGGAAACCAAACCAGCTGGCAAGAGAAGGGCCCCCATTTTTTTGTTTCATCTCAGGCCCAGATGGGTTTTGCCCTTGTCCTTTCTGCATGTTCTCTTGTATGCACAACATCACTTTTTCTTCTATTGTAGGATGTGAGTTGGTTGAAACCGAAGCCTTTCCAGAGGTTTCGGGACCATTTAGACACATTTCTTGCAATGCTGTCTTGCTTCCTTCGGCTTTATGATGACGCTCCATCCTGTCCACGTTTTTCTGAAATGGGAAAACTTGGCCCGAGGAAACACTGGTTTGGTTGATTTCTGTCTGGGTAACACTTTTTTCCACTGCCGACTGACGCTTGGAAACGTCACTGCTTTTTTCATCTTGGCCAGGTGTTTTTGGAACTTCGCTCTGGGATGCTGATTTTTGGATCCCCTTTTTCAAAATGCTGACGCACAGATCTCCTTTTGGAGACGTTCGAAACGGCAGCTTGCTTGGGTTGCTCATCTGACTATTGGAACCGGTCACTTTTGCACAAACGCCTTGCCGAGTGCAAGGAACTGCAGGAGCCACCTCTGCTGTCCCAGCCGATTCTGAAACGAGCTTCATTTGTAATCCCTCCACTGCTGAGTTTTGCCTGGTCAGAGAATTCCCTCGTTCTGATGTGTTTGTTATAATCTGCGTTCTCACTTTTCCCAACCGTTCTGGGGAAGGCGCGTGCAATATTTCTTCAGTATAAATACTGAAACTTTGACTACGGGCCTTGGCTCCAGTCATGCCAAGAGCTGGCTTCAGGTATGCTTTATTACTAGAAGAAAGGGATCTTTTAACAGATTTGTTTTCAAATCTATCCGGCTCTATCAAATTGCAAGTTTCAGAGGAAATGGGGAAGGCTGGGTCCATTTTGAGCTTTTTTGAGAAACTTTCCTTTATTTGGGGCTCTGGACTCCATTCTTCAGGGTCCGCCGAGTCTATAGTGGTTTGAGGTGAAGAGTCACCTTGCCTCTGTTTATCTGAATTCACGCTGCATTTAGAGGCTGCATTCATACAGTCTTTTTCCTGCTTTCCTGGCACGGTGGAACTCTTTCTGACAAAGCGGGGAGATGTTATGAATAATTTCAGTCCCACAGAGAGATGGGGCTTCAGGACCTTGTCAGACAAGCTTCCATCATCCCTTCCCTGAAATAGCAAAGGAACTGGAGAAGGGTTGATTTGCGGCAATACACTCTGTTCCCCAACTGTACTTATGTGATGCTCCAATGAAGTGCAGAAACTTTCGGGAAACTTTGGTTTCTGAGGTACACCAGTCTCCTGAGGCAGGGAGCTTATATCTTGCGGTGTGAAAGCTGTAGGGACAACTCTGGAATTATACAGTTCTTGGTTGCTGTAGAACATGGGCAAGTTTGAATTTGGTGGACCAGTTTTCTTGGTGAAAATCTTGGAAACGACTTGGCTTGTGGCAGGGGACTTTTCTGATATGCATTTGCCTTCTCCCTTGTCCTGAAAATGGTTTGATTCAACTGGAGGTGTTGCAGGCAGCTTAGCAGTTTTTGTTTCATAAACAGCAACGTTATGACAAACAGGCACTGACTTTCCTTTCTGTGGTGACAACTGGACGTCTTTTCTTGAATCACTGAGAAAACCCGCTCCTGGTTGGTCAAGAGCAGGGGGTGAATGTTCATAATGTGGTCTAATTAACAATGAAGCTGATCTGTCAGTAGGAAGGGGAGGGGATGGAGATGTGGCCTCCACTGGTGCCCCATCACAATGGACATCTCTGGTTGGTTTCTCTTCACTATGGACAGGCTCTAGAAGATGCTGAGGCAGGGCAGTTGACTCTGAGAGCAAATTCTTAGTGTCTGGATGGGCTAACATCTTGCAGTTATTCAAGCCTACTTTTGAATTCTGATTTGGATTTGGCATCTTTTGGCGTCTCGACCATTTTGCAGGTGACCGTGGACCTTTATCCAAGGTCTTAAAGCAATGTGAAGAGACTAAAGGAAAGTTTTCAGCCACGGGCACTTTTGCCGTCTGGGGTAAAAACCTTTCTCTGCTGGATACTTTTGTTAACTTGTGCTTTTGATTATTACCCCCCTGGATACAAGAAGGGGAGCTCAAATGAGAAGAAATACTGCATCCAGGCTTGGTTAGTTTTTGTTGAGAGGTATTTTGACACAGTGGTTTTCCGAAATGGATAGGGCAATCTCTGATGTGGGGAGTAGGGACACTTGCACAGTCATCCTTGAAATCACTTGGGGCAGTTTTTCTCTCTGCTTTATTAACAGGCATTTGCATAACATGGCAGCTTTTAGCATCTATTGCATTTTGCAAATTAGATACTCCCTGAGATAAACACGTAGTGTTTTCTGCATCACACGGCTGGTGAATTGAAATTTCATTTCTAGTTACAGTAACAATTCCAGCCTGATGTGAATTAAATTCAATAGGTTTGCCATCTTCGGCATCGAATATTACAGTAATACATTCTTCTGAAGAAGTCTTCTTTATAATTTTTTGTTGCTTAATAAAATTGCATGCCTTTGTCCTGATGTCTGGGGGAGGGGCTTGTTTTTCAGAAGATGCCAGCTGAGTGTTTCCTTTCTCCCCAAGCACACCACAGCTCTCTGTGTTCTTTTCTGCAGAGGGTGCTAATGACAAATACGGTGGGCTTTTCTCATCGCTGCTTTCTATATGTAATTCATCAAGGATTTCATTGTCATCAGTATCTGAAAGGTGTAAATTAAGGTCTCTCCAGCTTACACTGGAAAGACTTTTATCTATCTGCAGCACAGGCAGCTTCATATCCCTGCACGATTTTGCACCCAATTGAAATCCATTGACAAAACTAGTCAGTTTTTCGGGCTTTTCCTTTGAATTAAAGTAAGAACTTATTTCTGATAAATGCCTTCTATCAGGTTCCCAGCCAAATAAGCTGTCAGAAACACTGTGAGTTAATTTATTATAGTAGTGCCGACAGTCTTTCCTTGGTAGTTCATGCAGTAGCGCTAAAGGTGAAGAGTCATCATCCACATCCTCGTGGGAATCAGAATCATATACAAAGATTTTTTGGTGATCGAGGCAAGCCGCTTCCGTTTCAGGCCTGCCATTAGCCTGTTCTTTATGAGTGCCGTACTTAATTCCAGGAGAATAGATTCCTTCGTTAGAATCCATGCAATCTTTATAGCCCCATTTGGATACAACCGAAGGAGGTTCTAATGTTTTTTTTTGTTTTTGTAGCTTCTTCAGCCCATCCAAAATGTGGTTTTCCTTGATACGAGTTGGAGGTAGGTCATCAGCAGGACTGGAATGGTTGCTGGGGAGTGAAGAGCCTATACTTATCCTTTTATCCCAGCTTACTGACTAATTTGAAATGGGAAAAAGAAAATATATATGTTTAGTTGTAACTACAGAATTAGCAGTCATTAGGAATAAAAATGCAGGCTTTGAACTTCATGCCTAGACAAAAATAGGAGGGATTTCTCCCCCCCTTTGCAAGTCCCCAGATATCAATAATAATAATAATAATAATGAGGAGGAGGAGGAGGAGGAGGAGGAGGAGGAGGAGGAGGAGGAGGAGGAAGAAGAGGCAGGGCCTGGAGACAGCAGAATAGATGAGAAAGAACTGGAGAAGATAACAAAATACAAAGACCTACAAATAGAAATAAAAAGACTGTGGCAAAAGCAAGCAAGGGTAGTACCAATAGTAATAGGCGCCTTGGGTGCAATCCCAAAACAACTGGAGCACCACTTGAACACCATTGGCATTGACAAATTTGCCATTAGTCAATTGCAAAAGGCGGCTTTACTAGGAACCGCTTCCATCCTGCGACGATATCTGTAATACCATCAAACATCCACATCTGCCTATCCCAGGTCCTTGGTAAGGACTTGATAGGTAGACAAAAATGCCACATCCAGTCTGAACATCTGGCTGACTGGGCGATGATCCATAATAATAATAATAATAATAATAATAATAATAATAATAATAATAATAATAATAATAATAATAATAATAATAATAATAATAATAATAATAATAATAATAATAATAGTAGTAGTAGTAGTAGTAGTAGTAGTAGTAATGATAAGCCACCAAAGTAGCAAAGAATGGAAGCAAGTCCTAGATCAAACTATGAATGTTCATGAACTTCAGCTGGTGATGAGACAAATCTGACTTTGAATAAAAGTGAATGAATTGAAATGGGTGAAGAAGGGAAAGGGATACTTCAGATTAGATGTTCCACTTCTGCTGGAAGCCACAATACTTCTAGATTTATATTTAGGACTCTGATCTCGATACTCCCCATTTCTTTCTCCTTCCCATCATGCCCTCATTGTTTCAACTTCTAAGCTAAGCTTATGAAGCATCCCTTGCCAATAATAAAAAAAAATAGTAGGCACTTCAATTTTCTACTAAATCAAAGATGACCAATAGCTTACCTTTTTCTTGCATGCTTTCCCATCATTCCAAGAGGAACTGCTGGAATATTCACTGCAGGCGCTAGACAAGGAGAGTTCACTGCTGCTGCAGCTGCTTCGAGGATAAACTTGGTGAGGTCCAAACCCATTTAGCTGATTCTGGCATTTCAAGGCAGGTATTCCAGATTTCATATTCTGCTGGCATTCCTAAAGCAACAAAGCAGACGACATTATTTGGTGGGCTGAAAAAAAAGAGAGTGACAGCATCTCTCTGAATAAGATGACAAATCAACAACCTATTTGTATTCACACCAATACAGATCCAGTCTAACTACTGAAGAAATATTAAAACCACCATGCTCATATTTCATCCTTATTACAAGATTAACATTTCTCAATATTTGCTTGTTTTAAAAATTTATTTCCTTAAATTATGCACGCCCTATCCGAGCTAGTCTTTCAGTGACAGTCTGCTTGAAATATGCAAGGTTTATTAGCAATGTGCTCTAGAAAGATACTGAAGCTTACGTTAAAGCAGTACAAGAACATCTTGACAACTGCATTATAGCCCCACAACGTAACAGATGAGGCCCTAGAAAACTGTGCAAGGTAAATTAATTTAGTGCCCCAACTGGAATGTCCACCGAGAATGGAATCTCTCCATTACAGTCTAATTTTGGTTTCCTATCTAGTTTAAAGCTTTGTCTAAGAAAGTCTCCAGCGTAGGACAATCCATCTTTGTGTCACTGTCCGACAGCTAAAACCTCCAGCTTATGCTATTTATTGACACTTTATGGCTGCCTTTACTACTTGGGTAGTTATCAGCCTTTTCCAAATGCAATCTCAGCCTCTGTGACTAAACACCAGTTTCAAGGAACAGAATAATGAAGAAAGAAGCAGCACAGAAGTTGGTAGATGTGTTTTAATTTTGCTCCAGATGAGCATTGTATTTCCTACAAAGGTCAGAGTATCCTGCATGCTCAGAAATCTTGCACAAAATATGTTATAAAGCCTCTTTATGAAATGGATCAGAGACAATTGTGTACTTTGTTTATTTACAATATTTGTACATTACCTCCACAGAAATGATAATGAATATCAAATGAGTAACATATTTGCATTTCCTTGGCATTTTGTACCAAGTCTCATGAATCTCAAAAACATTTCCCCCGCATTCATGAGCATTGCAAGGCTATGCGGCTACATTGCTTTACATCGCTTAAGAATAGATAAAAACAATCTACTCGGATATCCATGCAAAGTTTATGTGCAAGCAGTTCATTATACAAGATGAAATGTCTTCTAACTTGGGTTTCAATCTAATAATTGTTGATCAACTACTGTGGCTGCTTGCCTATTTGCCAGAGGTCCCCCCCTGGTTCTAAGCCTCAATATCAATGCATACTGCTAATTATATTCCACATTCTTAAAAGTAGAGAAGAAAACATTCCAGCGTAAATTTGGATTTACTCATTGTGCAGATAATAATGAATCTTACACTTCTTTGCCCTCCAAGCTCACAGAAGTTGGTTTTGAGACACTATAGGATGCCTATGTCCAACTCTGGCCTGCAGTATTTGTTATGGACAAAAATGATATATTTCAGAAAATTATTGTCTCTGGTGATCATAATTGGACTATTTTATTGTGATGTGTAAAATGGGCCAGAAAAAAAATAAAAAATAAACATAATGAATCTCTCTCAGTCAAAAAGGGACTTGCTAATACTGTTCTGACATAATCTAGGTGGGGAAAGCCACAAAATATTAGTGAACTGATGAAATGTGAACCTAATTTTCATTGAAACATTTAACTTCTTTCTGAGTGGTAGCCCTTCTAGATTAGTGAAATCATCACAAGACTGAATTTGCTTTAAAAAAACCTGAGATTTCTATTTTTTTTTTTTTTAATATGGATGGATTTATTTCTTGCTTTGGAAGAGCATCTAATTTTCTTCCATCTAAGCTACATCAACAATCTGATGTCAGGGTATCCTGATGCTTCAGTGACAAGTTGTCAGGAACTATATCTATGATACACCAGAACATCTCAGGAGCATGGTGGCTCAAGTGGTAGGAGGTTAGCTATCCCATGTTTGAGACCCGAGAGCTGCCATGGGGTAGGGTTGAGCTCCGTCCTTTGGTCTAGTTCAGTAAGGGCGAAACTTTCAGAGACTGAGTGCCCCAAAACCGCCCCTGCCTCTCCGCCCACCCCATCCGCCCCCGCCTGATCCGCCCCCGCTCCCCTACAAGGCCACCCACCGCCTCCATGGCCCGCCGCAGTAGATCACCCAGGCGGCCTAGCAGCGCCGTGGCAGCCACACCCTCCTCCCGTGCTCCGCAGCATCATCTGCACATGATGGGGTGTGAGGGCGGAATCTTGTCCCACTGCCCAGCTGCCATGTCCTTGGCTACGCTGGACCACGCTCAAGGGTGACTCTCCTCCAGGGGGGCTGCTGGTGAGAAGGGGGAAGCGGGGGAAGGCAGGGCTGGGGCAATTGTGTGTGCCCCCAGAGAGGGCTCTGAGTGCCGCCTCCAGCACGCATGCCATAGGTTTGCCACCACTGTTCTAGTTCCTACCAGGGACATTAAAGGAGCCCCCAAGTGGGCATCCCCAGGGCAACAAATGTCACTGACTAATCCTTTCAACCCAGAAGTACAGAGGTGCTTCTAACGAGTGCAAAAACCAGAACATCCATCCATCCATCCTAAATAATAACAGGTAGGATCTAAACTGAATATTTTCTGTAACGATCCTTTTTAATATGATATCATATAATGTGTTCTTTAATACTAATAGCTCTCAAGGCTTCCTCTGACCTTATACTGTGGTGAGAAGAGGCAAATGTATGAAGTAATGCTTACTTACAGAAAGCTTTGCTGCAGAATGGTTTCCTGTAATGACTACTCTATTTTTAATATAATTTTATTTTAATATTTTTTTTAAAAGGAAAGATAAAAAACTAATACAAATTAATATTAGTAAGAAAAAGACAGAAATCAAAGAGGAAGTTAAAAGCATGGGAAAGAAAAAAAGTAAAAGAAAAACAGAAGAGAATATCAAGCATACAAATAAGTAGCTTCTGATCTTCTTTACAACAGTTGTAAGTACAATTATAATTGTACTTATAATTATAATTATAATATGTTAGTTACCACCTTTAAAGCGCTCCATGGCATAGGACCGGGATACCTCCGAGACCGCCTTCTGCCACAGACTCCCTCCCACAGACCGGTACGCTCCCACAGAGCGGGCCTCCTCAGGGTGCCGTCGGCCANTGACCTAGGGTGAATTTTAAATAGGGATAATTTTTAATGATTTTAATAAGAGACACAGCTACAAATATTTGGTTTTTAATTGGCTTTTATTGGGGAAATGTACTATGTTGTTTTAATATGCTGTGAGCCGCCCTGAGTCCCGTGGGGAGAAGGGCGGCATATAAGTCTTAAAAATAAATAAATAAATAAATAAATAAATTTACTGTACTACATATTTTGTGATTAACTCTCTTTCCATAACTTAAACTGTATAATCATCAAAACCATCAAGCATAAGTACATTTTTTTTTTATTCATGCAAAAAGTCCATAAGGGACTTCCAGTCAGCAATGAACATAGATATTGTCGAAGAAGTCATTTTAGCAAAATCTATTATCTTGACTAGTTACATCATCTTTAGAAACCACTCCTCCATTGTGGGTAGTGCTGAAATTTGTCATCTCAGTGTGTACAATAATCTCACTTGCAGTTATCATACACAAAACACGACTTTTTTTCCAACTGTTTGTCCATCTATCCCAAAAGAAAAAAAAATCTGGTCTCAATTGTATATTAATCTTTAACATTTTCTGAATTAGTGTGTGAATTTGAATTCAAATTTTCTAGTTTTCTTTCAGATGTCCACCAGACATGATAAAATATCTACTCTTGTTCACGTTTCCAACATAAATTTGAAATCCCTTTACACATTCTACACAATTTCACTGCTGATATACCAGCAGTGTATCATTTTATTAAAAAAATTAACATTGTAACAGTGTAAATTTCCATTCTTTCAATATCATTTCTCATTATTCCATCTGTATGTTATAACTAATGTTTTTAGCCGGCTTTATTGTACATTTTTCCATTTGTTCTTCTGCTTAAAATTTTAGTAAGTTTATACATTTTAGCAATTATATGTTCTTCACATTTCAAACTTAGACTTACAATGTTCAAAATCTTTTGTCTACTTTAGATCCTTTTAATAACTGTAAGTAACAAAACCACTGACAACTGTATCCTGTGCCACTAGTTCATCTCTTAATTTTATTTTATATATCTCTTGATAACATTCTAATATTTCGTGATACATAGCCATTTGTGTTTGCCTATTATTTCTCATCTATAGAATAGTTCTTGTTTAGAGAGCCACAAAGGTGATTTGAGGCATAAACTGGATTTTATCGATGCCATATTCTCAACATGGCATGTCTAATATAATAATTTTTAAAATTCCCATTAACATTGACTTTATTGTACCAGAAATACCATGCCACTACCCCAAAGTGGAAAACAATTTCTCCTTGTAAGGTAGAATACATCATATTTTTGAAAGGTTATAAAAGTTCATCCTCAGAACATTTATATTAAGAACCTAATAATCCATCTGGCCCAAGCACTTTTCCTGGTTTAATCTTTTTTACAGCTTCAGAACCTTCCCTCATTGTTACAAGTCCATTAATAATCTGTCTCTCTTCCTCTGTAATTGTCAGTAAATTTTATTTCTTTAGATACAGTATTCATCTGTCTTCTCTACAGAGATGTCACTTCCTTTACACAAGTTGGAGTAATATTGATAAAATGCTTTTTTATCTAGCCAAGTTGTCCATTAATACAGTATCTCCCTCTTGTAATTTCAATATCACTTTCTTTTTTTCTTTTTGTAATTTATATGCCAGGCACGTCTATGGTTTATTTGCAGACTCATTTTTTTTGTTTCATATAATCTATTTTTTATTTCCATTTCTCTTACATAGATAACTGTCATATAAATAACTGTCATAAAAGCTTAATTTGTTGAGAAATTTCTCTCTACAAATTCCTTTCATTCTTTTTTCTCATCCAAAATAACTTGTTTTCTCTTGACTCTTTTTTTGAGTTTTATAAAATAATAAAATAAAATAAAAACTTTAATTTAGTTTAGTTTGTTTTAAAACTTTAAAAAA